TACTCGCTACAAATGTAACCCGTACTTGCTACAAATATCACCCGTACTCGCTACAAATATCAACCGTACTCGCAATTTTCTGAAAAATATGACCCGTACTTTTCACCCGTACTTGGCTCATTTTGGTACATTTATATATATGTGACTCCTGTGTTTTTCCACCCTGGAGTGAATGAGTACCGTATCCAATGTGGGATATGTAAATCATGAACGCTCTATGTTAGCTAGACTGTCAACAGTCTATATGGTAGTCAGAGTATGGGTGTAAAGCAAACATTTTTAGTAGAAAGACCATATTCTGGGATCATGTGTTGTTATTGTCATCTCACGTGTGAAGTTTGTTTGTTACAATAGTGCTGATAAATATATAATATTTATTAACTTTCCAGGAACATGACCCTTTCTGGGATCCTTTGGAGCCTGTCTTTCTAGGAAGGTAAAGATTATACAAAATGTATTTAATAAAAATGAAATTACTTTCATAAAACATGTTATCATTTAGAAGTGTTATAACATGCCCCAGACACTGTGTCCTGACAATTTATACTAGTGAATAAAATAAACTAAACTGAAAGGCTGTTGCATTTCTATTGATATTCATCATGTCTGAGTCACTATTATTATTATGTTGTATTTTTCTTTCAGTGCTCATATATGGTTGCAAAGCTTGGCTTATCTCATGGGAGTTGATGATCAAATTGAAATTCACAACTATAAAGGAGAAGAAGAAGGAATTGTACAGTGTAGTCTAAAACCTTGTGATAATAAGAAAAAGTAAGTCAATATTAACCCTGTGAATGAAATAGTAGGTATGGTGGCCCACATGTTCTAGTATAACTCTTATCATTGTCAAATTAGATATTAGATTTTAGAGACATGTAGTTTTAGTTGTACTGGAAGATACAAACCTTGTTGACTGCTGATCATTGTATATCACACAAATAATTAACGTCAATCATGATGCCAAAAGTCAGGTGTGGGTATTACCATGATGCATAATGCTTACTGAAAAATAATTTAGTTTTTCATTAAAAAAATATAAATTCTATGGTTTATATGTAATGACGCAGCATTGAATACAAATTAAAAGCTACCAATAAAAATAAATGTTGGCTTCTGTATCTACTCTCTAAAAATGATAGAAGTGTTATTTGATTTAAAGATGAATATTAGTGTGATTTTGGCTTGCTAAAATCGATTTTGTAAAACGCCCTGAGCTTGGAGCCTAATCCGGATTCTGGCCGTCTTGCCTTCAGCCTATCACAGCTCGTTTATTTTGACCTATCACAGCATTGTTTACCTATCACAATTTTGTTTTGTGCGAACCAATCAATGTGTTTTTGCACACATCCCGTGGCGTCCCTTGCTAATTGCTTTCTTTTGCGTGCCTTTGTCTTTATAGTCATTCATGTATTTAGCCAAGCTTTAGTGAGCATTGTTTTGTTTTCAATCAATTTCTTTTCCCACCACCGCCCCATTTCTTTCTCCCTTTTTCATTTTATTTTAGCTCTGCTTCTTCTGCACACTACACTGGGCTCATGAACTCCATACTGCCCCCCATTTCAGGGCTCAGCGGCCATCTTCTTGGTACCTCCCATCTATCTTGGTTTCACAGCAGGATCTCCTTGCGGGTGGGTCATGGCCTTGACCTCTGTAGTGTGACTGAAGGAGCCCCTTCCCAATTTTGTAGTTAGATTTTATATGGTAGTTATTTTATTATATTGTGTTTTGTGCTTCTGTATTTGATTAAGACTTGTATTTTACCATTGTCGTTTTTTTTATTATATGCAAACTGTTCTTCTTACAAGCGTGTAGTGTGTTACAAATAATAAAATAAAGTGAAAAATAAAATGTTATACTATATTTAATGGTTGATAAAAATGTTTTTTTGCATGAAAGTATATTACCATTGGTTATATTTCAGTCTCCTTGGTGACGATGCCATGGTACTGGATCCCACTGATCTATTAAATACAAGACTGGATTTTATGATGTGTTTGTCTCATTGTCTTGGTGTTAAATGGGTGAAAAATGAAAATACAAGAGGTACATTTTGCAAGTAAGTCTGTATATCATCACATGTATGAACAAAAATAATCAAGG